AGAAATTATCACCAATCTCAAGCAACATCAAATGGTGATATGAATGCCATATTAAAAGCTCTCCAAAATCTCACCCAGCAGCTAACCACCACTGGAACATATAATCGACCTAGAAATGGTCCATACAACCAACATTCAAGCTGGAATTCTCAAAACAACAATTCAACAATCACTTGTTACAATTGTGGTGAGAAAGGACACATTAAATCCAACTGTCCAAAGCCAAGACAAGATCCAAATCAACAAACATCTTATAAAAGGAATTGGCAAAGTCAAAATAATAATAATTATCAACAAAATTTGTTCAATAACCAAGAAAAATCACAACAAAGTAAAACATCTTCTTCAACAAATATACAAAATCAAATAAAAAAAAACTCTTTCTCATAGATCATTTTTCCAAATAATTTACTGCGTCACAAAAAGAGAAAAAATTTTTTCCTGCCCTAACAGCTCATTTTTCTTGTAATAAAAACATTCTAAACATAACCAATACACTTAACACACCTATAGACCAAAAAAACTCTGATCAAAAAGGTCTTAAAATGGCTGAAAATAGCCAAAAATCAAATATAATGAATATAAACAACAAAAACAACAAATACGATTAAAAAACCAAAAAAAACTACACTAATAGTACAAAACAAATAAATAAAGGATAATACCCAAACATCCAACACTACAAATACAAGAAAAACCAAAAATATGCCAGCAAAAAACACAAAAAAATTCGAAAAAGTAAAAGAAAAATTCAACACCTTATTCAATGAAAATCATTCTTCAAAAACAACTACAATTCCCCCACCACCTTTATCAATATTAATAAAATGCTCTTAAACAACACAAATATAGAAATTACTCTTCAAAAAGAAATCAGTGAATCCCTTAAAACTATTAATCAAACTGATAATATTAATCAAATACTCAAAGTCAATGTCAACGAATCTTTAACATATATTACACGACCCATCACACCAATCAATCAACCAAATTCAAAAACCAATCCCAAAACACCAAGAACTCCACCAACATCCAGCAAAATTCAACCAACTTGGAAAAAGAATTCACCATTCGTTCAAAATAATAATAATGAAAACAACGAATTCAACTTAGAAATACAAACACTACTTCCAAAATTCAGTTCCTATACAGAATTTGAACACAATAATAACCAACAAACATTTCACTTTACTGAAAAAGAACACCCTCTCGATCCAGAATTTAATGAAGAAATCATTACAGTGCTTTCATCTGAAAAATATGCTCACAACAATCACTCAAGCGATTCGCTGTCATCAACCTCAAGCAATATAACAGTACGCCATATTTTAGAATCTCAGAATCACAATCCAATCCCAGATACAATCAAAGATAATCAAATTCCTTGGCAAATAGTATCAAGAAAATCGAGATACTATGCATTTATCCCAGAAAACCAACTCAATCAAGAAACCACAGGCCAAAAACGCAAATGGATAATGAATACTATATCCAATAATTCAAATTTTCTAGGTCTCTTTAATCCAAATCCCAAATCCTTTAACAATTTCAGACTCGAGTTCAATAGTATAAATGCTCGAGATGATGCAATTAATACATTCACCAACCTTGGAGTCGACACAATAAACACAATCGCAATTCCAACAATCAAATCAACTAATACTACAAATGAACCAATTATCAGAAATGGAGTGATTATTCTGGATATTCCCACAAATATGAATGAAACAACAGTCAAATTAGCTTGCAACACAATCAGCACCGTAAAAGACTTCAAATACACAGAAAAAGATGAATGGAAGACAGCACAAGTGTCATTTATTGAATCAGATGAAGACTTAAACTTAGAAAACACATGATCAATAATAATCAAACATGACAGTATGAGAGTAATCCCAGCTAAAACATATCAAGAATCTCTTCACAAGCGATCAACTTATGAATTAAAACTAGCAAACTTGCCTCCAAGAAGCATAGCCTATGCTTTACAACATATTACTATTCAAGTTAAAGCTAAAACATGCTTTATTCCATAAAGCAGATCCAAATATACTCATCTAGAAATCACCTTTATGACATTCGCAACTGAAGAGGATTTGGCCAATGCACGCAAAATTAAGCTAATTCTAGATAATCATCAATTAGAATGGGTCAACAGCAACACAAAAACCTGTTATTATTGTCACAGCTCAACTCACTCTATATCAAATTGTCACACCAAAACTGAAAATCAAGCTGAAAACAATCACAATAGTAATACATTCTATAGGTCAAATAAACAACAATCTAATCCTCTAGCAAATGATCTTATGGATTATACACTATTAAATACCAACAATACACTATTAAATACCAACAATACAGAATTAAAAGAATCAGATAATGAAACAAACCCTAATGAAAATAACTCAAATTCATCCAGTCGACAATTCTACAACATTTCACAACACAACAAATTCAAATCCTCTTATGCGCAAGCAGTAAAACAAATCAGTAAAACTAATGCTAATGAACTCACTAATCGACTTGTTAAAATGGAAAACCAGATTATGACAATTACAACCAAATGCAATATCATTATTAACAAAATCAATAAATCATTTAATGAACAAATAACTAATCTGAAAATACCACTAGTCAATACAGTAGACAACAATATCAAACACAAACTAAACCTTCTCCAACTAAATATTAATAATATAGACACAACATTCGATAACCTAAGCTCCTTATTGGAACGAGTCATAAATCAACAAAAAACTATCAATAACAACAATCTAAATGAACAACATAACAACTCTTTACTGGAAACAAACTTAAATAAAATCACTGATAATGACAGCACATCAAACTGGAATCAATAAAAACATGTCAACAAAAACAAAAATCGCATAACCAAACTTTAACGATATTAATACTAATTCTAACAAAACATTTTGGAATCTCAGCACACTAAATGTCAGAGGAATAAATGAACCAAGCAAAGTACACATACTCAATGACTGGATATTTAATAATGACTTAGATTTTACAATTCTAACAGAAACTAAACTCAACAAATATAATAATCCTAAATTTAATCTTAAAAACAAATAACTCACAGCATTTTATAGCTCCTCCAACCATCACACACATGGTCAATGAGTTGCAATCATCATCAAACCACAATGGTGTAGTTAAGGATGCTTGCCGAAATTCAGGAATTTCGGCAACCTGTCAAGCTGAAATTATTAAATACTATTTCGACAAATAAA